TATTATTTTTCACTAAAAAAGACATTAGGCCTCGGGCCAGGTTTCAAAATGATGGCCCAGGATCTCGGGCAAGGCCCACCCCAAGTCGCTCACGAGTCATGGGTCATTTTTACACTCCTAATAATAAAGGAGGAGGATTTTTTAAAATGTGTTAAAATGTCTTAGAGATACATTTTGTTTCAAGAGTTGAGATTAATTCCCAAATTCATTAAGGGGCAAGATTTTTTTAATTCTCACTCACCCACCTTTTTTTTCCCCCCTTTTTGTTCACTCATGCAATCTCTCTCTCTCTCTCTCTCTCTCTCTCTCGCCCACCTTCCTTCCTCTTTCCTTTTTATTTTATTTTTTTCCCCTTTTTTTTAAATTTTCCTTCCTATTTCTTTATTTTACTTTTTTTTTTCTCTTTTTTGTTCACTTATTTTATTTACACATGCGCTAGTTAATATATGTTTCAGATCATCCTACATATGAATCATACAATACAAATTTTCAATCTCCACTGTACACTAATATTCTTGACGAAAATCTTAGACCAAAGTCTGGATAAAGAATATCAAAATGAGAAGAGGAAAAAAAATGGGTTTAAATTAATGGTACTTAGACATGACATGCGAAATATCCTTAAAATTTGGAGAGAGAAAAATTCAATCACCTAGAAGGGGTGGGGCACGCCGTGATGCCAAGGATCCTCTAGAGTGCCTTCTCTAGAGTGATCTCCTAGAGTAAACAATCGAAGGGCTGAGATTCTTCCTCGCCAAAACGACGTCATTTTGGCATGAAATTTGAAAAAACAAAAAAACAAAAAAAAAACTCAGATTTCAAAACAGAGAGAAGGGCTGAGAGGAGAGAAGAGGAGTTGAACAATCTGAACAATCTCCTTCGCCGATCTCCATGTCTGCCGACGTTGCCTTCGTCTTCGATCGTTGCCTTCATCTTCGATCCGTCGACGAGCTGAACAATCTCCTTCGCCGATCTCGATCGTCTTTGATTCTGTCTTGAAGAAACTGAATGATGCTTGTGTTGACTTAATCTTCTTTTTTATTTATTCAAATCTCACGGATCAAAATCCATTTTCATTTGATTCAATCTGTAAATATATATATAGATATACATATATACATGGGGTCTGTTGTTGATCAAAAAAAAAATATACATGGGGTCTGTAAATATATATATATATATATATATATATATATATACATATAGAGATACAAATTCGTAGGTTGATACGGAAGAGCACTTGAAGATGGATTTTGATTCAATTTACTGCGAGGTTGATAAGGAATCGAAAAAGCAAGAGCACTTGAAGAAGCATTAATCAACTAGGTTTTGGGGATTAATCAACCTCGCTGTGAACTTGAAAATATACATGGGGTCTGTAAAAATATATATATATATATATATGCATATAGAGATACATATTCGTAGGTTGATACGGAAGAGCACTTGAAGATGGATTTTGATTCAATTTACTGCGAGGTTGATAAGGAATCGAGAAAGCAAGAGCACTTGAAGAAGCATTAATCAACTAGGTTTTGGGGATTAATCAACCTCGCTGTGAACTTGAAAATATACATGGGGTCTGTAAAAATATATATATATATATATATGCATATAGAGATACATATTCGTAGCTGTGCATTAATCTCACCCTTTGTGTTGATTGTGCAAAGAATGCAAGAGCACTTGAAGATGGATTTTGATTCAACTGGATTTTGGGGAAAGAAAAAGAAGAGAACAGAGACAAATCTGAGTTTTTTTTTTATTATTTCTTCAAATTACACGCCAAAATGACGTCGTTTTGGCGAGGAAGAATCTTAGCCCTTCGATTGTTCACTCTAGGAGATCACTTTAGAGAAGGCACTCTAGAGGATCCTCACGCGTCCGTGATGGTTTCACCCAATAACAATTAAAAATCTAAATTTTAATTTTTATTATTTTAAATCTTAAGACTCAATCTCAATGATTCGTTACTTTTCATTGTTACTGGGGTGAAACATTGATTTCTTTTTTTTTTCTTTTCTTTTTTTTTTCAACATATTGTTTTTTTGAGAGGAAACAACATAGAACTAGCAAATGTGTTTGTAACTAGGAGTGAGAATGGTTCGAATTGGTTTGGATTGGGATAAAATTAGGACTAATTTTATTTACGATTCTTGAAAAATTAGAACCAATCCAATCTATTTAAATCATGGAACCAATCCGAAGCAATCTATTTAAATACGGATTGGATCGATTTAGGACCACAGACTCACATAATTAAATAACAAAAAAAATATAGAACATTTTAATTTCATAAAAATATAAACATAATATCATATTAGTTCCACAATAGCAATATGTCTTTCCATAATAGCGACATACTGTTTTAGAATTTAAACAATCATAAGAAAACTGATTCCATCATAAGTATTTAAACCATTACAAATTAAAACTAAAAACCAACAAACAAAAATAATAAAAGAAGATGTTATGTGGGTTTAGTCTTGGGTATAGGTTTTATATAGAACAAAAAAAAATGCTATATGAGAGAGTGTATAATATAAATATAGGCTATTTGTATATGGTCCGGATTTATTTCAATCCAGAACCATGGAGTTCAATCCGGAACCGATCTGTGAATTACAGATTTTAAATTTTTCAATCCGAAACCGAACCATGAATTCAAAAAACCAATCCAAACCTACCAGATTGGACTGAACCGGATCGTATTACAGATTTCACGAATTCCTTTCTTAGCCCTATTTTTAACCCATAAATAATAAGCCCTTTTAGAGAAAATCACTTGAGTTTAGGCCTCTTAAAGTTGAAATTAGGTAAGTGCACGTGCTCTACATAGGATTGTAGTAAAAAAATCATTATAAATTATCAAATTACTCTTTTTATTTTTTTATATAACTTTTTGTAAAAAATGAAAAAAAAATAACTAAGATATTCATTCTAAACGAGTCCTGAAGTCTTATTTTTAAATTTTTAAATATTATCAAACTCATTTTCTACTCTTTTATATGAAATCATTTCACGTCGTCAATCTGACTATATTCTTAAACAATATTTCCCACTAGCCTTTTTGTAATTCATCTTATTTTGTTTTCTGAATTTTCTCTCAAATTCACACAAAAAACCCTTGACAAGGCCTAGAAAATGTCTTTGAAAAATACAAATAAAGATGATCACTCTAGAATGAGAAATGAATTGTCTCTATCTTTTTTTCTCTATACCACAATATTTGTCTCCAAAATGCATATAAACAGATTATCTTCCTTGTACGGGAGGGAAATATCCATCGCTCTCTGTACTCCTCGTGTTCAAACTCTGAGTAACGTCGTTCGACCTGCGAACAAAAAGACGGTGAGCTACTTGGCGAGTGTACCACCGGAAAACCTCTCTGATGATCAAGTTGGCACACTTAGAGAAGAAGAAAAAGAGAGGAGACCAAATGCAAGTAGCTCTGATAACAAGAATTCCGGACCTATTACATGGAGGCGTCGCACGGTTTATATAGTTTCTGTGCACACTACTTTGTTCGTCCTTCTTTGGACGCGTGGATGTACTACTCTCTCTTCGTCCGCCTCGTATGTGCGCGACAATACAACCAAACAACATTGACAAAACGGCCAAACAGTATTGACATGCACGAACAGTGGATTCCCTTTTTTGCCGACCTATTGGGCCACGTGGCAGCTCTTGTCGAGCTAATCATATCCTCGTCTGGCCTGGTTCTCCAATCTTGACTAGTCTTTTGGGCTGAGTTGATCATTGTCGATCTCAAATGTTCAATCATCTCAGCTCGCCACATTCAGTCTATTCAAGTTCCATTAATTTATCAAGGCAAACTCTGTCTCCAGGAGCACTTGGCACGGTACACAGGGCTCGCCTAGCTCGACCCATGATCCAAGTTCAACAACCAACCTAGTCCTACGTCTAGATCTCGGGCCAACCCAACTAATCCGGAACCTTGACTCAGGCCACACTGTGCTATGCCATCTTGGTTGAGCATCATTGCAATTTACTCTGAGTTCACGCTAACTCGACCCATTTACTCCGCACAAATCTCCCTCTCATTCCTAAACAATGAAGAAGAAGTACTATTTTGTGTTTAAATGACGTGGCAACACATGAGCCGTTGAATTTAATTGTGCAAAATGTGGTGCCACTGGAAAGGTGGTTTAAGAATTAGTTGTTTTAATTGATTTTTTTTTTTACTAAAATGTGTAAAAAATAAAAGTAATTAGCTTGTTTGGTTTTAGTTTTCAGAAAATAATATTTTAAAATTTCTATTTTTTTCGTTTTTCTTTTTATTTTCAATGATTTTTTTAATATTTTAAACAATTTTTTTAATGGTGAGAAACACTTAACATAAATGCACTTAAAAAGTATAATATTTGTGAATTTTTTAAAAAAAAATTCATTAAATACCCAAAAAACAAAAAAAAAATTAGTACACTTTTCATATTTTTGTATATTTATTAATTTTTTAAAATATTTGTTTACAAATATTTTACTATTTAGATACATTTAAGTAAGGTGTATCTAAAAAGCAAAAAAAAAATAATTAAAATTTTAAAAATATTTCCTAAAAACAAAAAAATACGAAAAATAAAAAACTCAATTTCTAAAAAATTGAATTCAAAAATTTAAACCAAACACCTTAAATAATAATGTAATAACTCTTGGAGTAATTTTTTGACTTGTAAGGCTAAAATTACAAATCCCTCCATATAACACTTTCTACTAAAAACTTTATATTTTAAAAAAAATAAAACAAAACAAAACAGAAACGAAATCCTTTGTTTTGCAAGACACGAGCACATCAATCTCAACCGTTTCAATTGTCCCGCCAACTGACAATATTGATTCCTCCCAATTCGCACGGAGAACCAACTACCTTCTTTGAACACATCTCAAACTTTAAACACTCCCCCCAAATCTCTCTCTCTCTCTCTCAAAAACTCTCTTCTTCTTCTTCTCTCTCTCTCTCTCTCTCTCTCTCAATCACAGAGTGTTCACCAATAATGGCAACACCAGGCCGTCTCGCCTCCGTCTACAGCGAACTCCAGGCAAGCCGTCTCGACGTCGCCCTCCCTCTCCCTTCCGTCCTCAAGTCATCCATCGACGTCCTCGACGGCCCCCCCAGCTCCGCCTCCGGCAATCCAGGTCTCAATCTCTCCATTTCCAACTCTAAATATATATATATATATATATATCCATATATTATGTTCATACTTGTAATCCATTGTTTATTGTTGTAAAATTGTAGATGAGATTGCAAAACTGTTCCCAAATGTATTCGGACAGCCATCAGCAAGCATTGTGCCAAGCAGTTCAGCAAAGTCTGGATGGGATTCGAGTTTGAAGATCGGTGTTGTGCTCTCCGGAGGACAGGCTCCTGGCGGGCACAATGTCATTTCCGGAATTTTCGGTGAGAATTGGTCTTATCTGAATTTTGTTAGACAGTTATCAAATTGAATTGGGTAATTCTATTTGCACACCACAGAAAATGCGTCCTTCAATAGTTTATATCCGAACAACTGTTTTTCGTTCATAAATTTATGTTCAAACCTTTGACTTTTGTGTACTGAGATGTGTTAGTATACTGAGATTTTCTGTGGGGTGTGAATAGAATTTCCCAATTCAATTTTGGGAATTTCAAATTTTGGAGAATGATGATCCGTTGTGGGTTTGATGCAGATTATTTACAGGCTAGGGCAAAAGGTAGCACAATGTATGGGTTTAAGGGCGGTCCAGCAGGGATCATGAATTGCAAATATGTTGAGTTGTCAACAGACTTTATTTATCCTTACAGAAATCAGGTTGAGCCTTTTGAGCTTTATTGCTTGCTTTGAATCGATCGCATCATTTAGTATATAGATGAATTCCCGGGTATAAAAGCCAGTGTAGTGTAGTAGATTAAGATTGTAAAATTTGTGCATTAGATCAACCTGGAAGCCATCATAGGGATGTCATCCCTTTTTAAGGATTTATGTCATTACGTCTAATAGTTTTAATGATTTAAACAATTTTATATTTTATGTCACAAATCATTTATCCTTCAACAGAATTAGGCTAGTGCTATACTTCATTTGTCGATCAGTTCATAATTTTTGCATATACATTGTTTTTGGTACCAAGGAGGCATATAGCAAAGCATCTAGGAATTTTGAACAATTTGGTAGTTCTCATGGTTTGAAACAATTTGATGTCTTATGTTACAAACATGGCTCCTGAAACAATATTAGGCTAGGTGCTGTATTCCATTATTGCTCTGAATAAGTACTTACATCTATTTGATGTCTTATGTTTCGCAAGTGCACATAATTTTCATGTGCCAATTTTATTTGGTTTTTAGGAGTATCAGTTATGCGCATTTCAAACATGCACATGAATGCATGCATGAACAACAAAAACCAGCATAATTGGATTATTGAGTTGGTCGTTTATAGTATACGTTTTGCAGACTTAATTGAGTATGCGTATCAGATATGCGCATTTCAAATATGCACATGAATGCGGGCATGAATAACAAAAAACAGCATAATTGGATTATTGAGTTGGTTGTTTATAGTATCCGTTCTGCAGACTTCATTTTGCAGTGTGCATGTGTACTTGTACATTGGGATTCAATATTCATATTTCAATGTTGTTACCAGGGTGGCTTTGATATGATATGTAGTGGTAGGGACAAGATTGAAACCCCTGAACAGGTAATTTGCTCTTTTTCAAATGAGATTTTGTCATTTCATGATTTTGATTCTTTATTCAATTGATATTTGCATAATTCAAATTCATCTAGATTACATCTTCAGAGACGTGTAATAATTGAATTTGGATGTGGTCACGACTTTCAGTTTAAGCAAGCTCAAGAGACGGCAAAGAAGCTTGATTTAGATGGGATTGTTGTCATTGGTGGAGATGACTCAAACACAAATGCTTGCCTTCTTGCTGAGAACTTTAGGTACAGTATACTTCTGTGTGGAGCAATGTGGAGCATTTGGTTTTAAATATAATGATCTAAAGATTTTTTTATTGATAGTTCTCCTTATATATCTATCTATCTATCTATCTATACTATATATATAACCAAATGTAATTGTATTAGCAAAAGTCTTCAAATATTTATTATTAAATTCTCATAATTTTAAAACTCTCTTTTTCCTACATAGCAACCCTCTTTGATTGTTTTTCATGTTTTCTATTTTCCTCCATTTTTTATTTGTTTGATTAATTAAAATAAAAATTAATTTCATGGTTTATGGATAAAGATTTGAATTTCAAAATTCCTCCATATAGATAAACATATAAAAATTAATAAATAATTTATGAAAATTAATTTCATGGTCTATAGATAAAGATAAAAATTAAATAACTAATTTAAAAAAATTAATTTCACAACTTATAGATAATTTAAAATTTCAACCAAATGTAGTTGTATTGGCAAAAGTTTCCAAATATTCATTATTAAATTCTCATAACTTTAAAACTCTCTATTTCCTACGTGGCAACTCTCTTTGATTGTTTTTCATGTTTTTTATTTTCCTCTATTTTTTATTTGTTTGATTAATTAAAATGAAAATTAACTTCATGGTTTATGGATAAAGATTTGAATTTCAAAATTCCTCCATATAGATAAACATATAAAAATTAATAAATAATTTATTAAAATTAATTTCATGGTCTACAAATAAAGATAAAAATTAAATAACTAATTTAAAAAAATTAATTTCACAACTTATAGATAATTTAAAATTTCTTTCCAAAAATTAACTTATAAAAATTGATAAATAACTTATAAAAATTAATTTTATGACCTACAGATAAAGGTTAAAAAATTGATTTAAAAAAAAATGAAATTACTCCTTTTTTTTGCCCTTCATTTGTAGTAGTTGTACTGGAAAAAGTCTCCAAATATTCATTATTAAATTCTCATAATTTTAAAACTCTCTCTTTCCTACGTGGCAACCCTCTTTGATTGTCTTTCATATTTTCTATTTTCCTCTATTTTCTATTTGTTTGAGTAATTAAAATGAAAATTAATTTAATGGTTTATGGATAAAGATTTGAATTTTAAAATTCCTTCATATAGATAAACATATAAAAACTGATAAATAATTTATGAAAATTAATTTCATGGTCTACCGATAAAGATAAAAATTAAATATCTAATTTAAAAAATTTAATTTCACAACTTATAGATAATTTAAAATTTCTTCCCATAAATGAACTTATAAAAATTGATAAATAATTTATAAAAATTAATTTCATAACCTACAGATAAAGGTTAAAAAATTGATTTAAAAAAATGAAAGATAAACATATAAAATTTCATAAATAATTTATGAAAAATTATTTCATGACCTAGAGATAAAGAAAAAAATTAAAACAAGTATTTTAAAAAATTAATTTCATGACTTATAGATAAATAAACATATAAAAATTGATAAATAATTCATAAAAATTAATTTCGCGGTCTATAGATAAGATAAAGATTAAATAATTGATTTACAAAAATTTAAATAATAAAATTTAAATAAATATATGATTTGTTAATCTGTATCTATCAAAAACATATCTATCTAAATCTTTGTTTTGATTTACTTATATTTTTTTCTCCTTCAATCACATATTATATTTTTTATTTTGAATCTATACTAAATGTAGCGAAGTATGAGAATTTTCCAAAGTCTTAATACTAAATTCTTATGGATTCTCTCTCTTATGTGTCACTTCTCAAGTCTCCCCTCTCACTTTTCCTAATTTTTAATCATTTGTCAATTATCTAAATCTCAAAAGCCAAAAGGATTATATATATTTAAATAAAATGATAAATATTTAGATATGAACAACAAAGAGGTAGAGATAAATATATAAAAAAATAAAATAAAATAAAAAGATAACTACTCAAATTTCAACCACACAATAATATAAAAGAATCAAATAAAAGATAAAAAAATAACTAAATAAAAGATATTACGAGTCAATTAATTTTAAAAATAAAAATTTAACTATTTATATATGAACAATTAAAAAAATTTAAATAAAAAAATATTACGAGTCAAATAATTTTTAAAATAAAAAGGTAATTATTTATATATGAATAACAAAAAAAAATAGAGATGAGGAAATATACAAAAATAAAAATATAACTATTTAGATTTGAACTGCAAAATGAAAATTCAAATAAAAGATAACAAAATATTTAAATTAAAAAAATATTAAGATTGAGATATAAATATCCCAAAAAAGAAGATAATTTTTTTAACGATCTATATTTATCTTTTGTTAGATTGTTATAGAATTTTCATATATTTCAATTTAATCTTTTTAAAGTTTATCTTCAAGTTGAGCTTAATATTTATCTTTTAAAACTATCAATTAATTATCCATACAAATTTTAAATATGATAGAATTCCATATATATATATATATATATATTGTTTAAGCATAATCTTTTCAATATAAAAACAAGTTCCTGCAAAAGAAACCATTAACAGAAAATTGGAGGGAAAACAATCAACATTGAGAGCCATTTCTGATCCCTTTTCGGTGCCTAAAAATCTTAAATATTTGCTTTACATTTGAATTGTGTACTTGCATGAGTTTTTGCATTTGTGAGAAAGTGAGTTTATGTAAATGGATATTATTATTTTATTTTTAAATTTTTTGTTTACAATCTGTATTTTTCCTTATTTCTTTCTTTTTGTTAATAATGTGTCATTTAATTGAGATTTTTTTTTTATATATTTATAAAAGTTCAATCAATCACTTTTTCTCTCTCATCTCTCCTTCTCAATCACTTTTCTCTCATACACATCTACTCAATTATAAAAAAATATCAAATCATTCCAAACTTCCAAATTCTAAAACTACTTTCAAAATACACAACCAAACAAATCAAAAAAAATTATAAACTTTCTTCCCAAGACAAACTATTTGTTTTTTTTTTTTTTAATCATTCCAAACTATTTGTGTTTAATGAATCAATATAATGAAAAAAACAAATAGCATGTAAAAAAATTTTAACCACTAACCGAATATAATGGGAATTAAAATTAATTTTATTTTAATTTATTATATTATATGAGATGGTTAATGTAATATCTATTATTGATTAAACAAAATTAGTGTTACTTTTATTTAATATATTAATTATTGTGATTAATTATAATATGCCTTTGTTACTCTATTTTTGGTTGTCTGAAATAATTCTTAGATAAATGAGTTATTATATATGTTATGATTTACTTAGTTTATGATAGTTTTTAAAAAATTTTAATAATGTGAAATATTTAATATTTTTAATGATGTGATATAAGATTTATATACACAAACTAAATAAAAATATTAAGAAATACAATCAAATAATAAATTTTTTTTTGTAATTATTGACTTTTTAAAATTCCATGCATCGCACGAGTGACAAGTAGTGTATATATATATATATACCTGGATGTAATGTTGTTTTTATCAATTATTTTAGGGGTAATAATTTGAAAACTCGTGTTATTGGATGTCCAAAAACCATCGATGGCGACTTGAAATGCAAGGAGGTTCCCACAAGTTTTGGGTTTGATACAGCATGTAAGGTAATTATTTTTGCTTCTGTTTTTGCATTTTTGCTTATATGTACATATAAACCTTATTATTTTCTTGTTTGTTAGCAGATTTTATGGATTGGGAGTGTTAGGATTGGTTTGAGATGTTTTAAATAAGTGTATTTTTTGACTCTTTATAAAATATGAGTTACGTATAGATTGATTTTGAAATGATGTAGTAAAGATGTGATGTGACTTAAATAATATGATCTAACTTAAATATAATAGTGACTTTTTGACTTTTTAATTTTTTTAATATATGTCAAACAAGGCCTTAGTAATATAATATGTTAGGTCAAGTTTGAGAAGACTAAATAAGTGTATTTTTTGACTTTTTATAAAATATGGGTTGGATTTGGATTGGGTTTGAAGTGATGTGTTGAAAAAATGATGTGATTTAAATAAAATAATGTGACTTAAATAAGATAGTGACTTTTTGACTTTTTAAATTTTTTAAAGAATACCAAACTTGACCTTAGTATACTAAGAGGTAAATATGGTAAATGTGTATTCCACTTCCTCATATAATATGTTAGTGGAGTAGTAGGTAAGTATGATAGGTGTGGTAGTAGGTAAGTGTGGTAGGTAAATATGCAGTATGGTAGGTAAGTATGGTAGGTTGCCATCAATCAATCAATACACAATTTATTTATATATTAATTTTATCATTTCTTTCTTGCCAATAGGCAATCGGATGGCAACCTTGTCTTCGTTGTCCACTGAAATTTTCTGCACATACCTTCACTTCCCGCTCTCTCCCTCATCCTCATCAACATCATCATAGACACCCTCTTTCTCCTCTCTGCTTTCCACCTCAAATCTCAATCTTCAACCTTCTCATCTCTCCAATCTATTCCAAGAAAACCCAATCTCACAGAGGGAAGAATAATATGGATACAATCAATCTCATCAAAGGCTATGGAAAAGTCTCAAACCCCTCAGAAGATCATCACCACCACCACCACTCAAACCCACCAAAAAGCTTCTCATCGCCGTCGTCATCTCTCTCATCATCCTTTTAACGGTGATCATCGGGGCAATGATCGGACTTCTGATCATCCACGAGTCCACCACCAAGTCACCCGAGTCATCATCAGCTCTCTCCAACAACAACGCCGTCGAATCAATCAGAGCCGTCTGTTCCGTTGGTACAGGTGTTCCGTTTTTTCGGAATGAAACTCGTCACCATGATCTACCATCACGGTCACTGCCTCCAATAGCAGTCCGTCCACTCTGCTGCAGCACCGTCATTTCCAGCGGCTCCCATTTTTCAAATTTGGGTCCACATTTGTAGCTCCTTCGAATTCAGTTCCAACTGCTTCAACCGCATCTAATGTAGGAACTACAGATTTGAAGGCAAAACTGAGAAGGAACCAACAACAACCAAATCGAACTACTCTCACAAGCTTCTACTCCAAAAATGGCGTCTTCATCTTCCTCCCATCGGGACATGCGTACGAAATTCCATGGGCGAGTAGCCCAAATCATAGAGCTGCTTTAAAGCAGCACAAGCAACCAAATCGGACTTCAACCGATTCACACCCAGATCAGATAATCTATCCAAGACCCTCAAAGATTCACCCGAATTTGAGAACGCCGATCTCCTTCTCCGAAAGGCCATCGAGAGAGGCACAGACGTCTTCCTCGTTCTTGCTCATCTTGGCAAGGGCTCGGCTCGCATCCTTGTCGGCTAGAATCAATGAAGACTATTATAATATATTATGCCCAAACATACGAGTCCACAGATTCAGAAACTACCGCTGGTTTTTTAAAAATTCGCCATTTTTTTTTTCAAACCGAAGTGTATAGGCAGCTGTCTGATCCCACAGCCCATCAAAGACTTACACAACCCATCATCACATTCTTTATTGCATTATGCTATCTCCACTACTTTTGGTATTGCTGAGACCCATCCTCTACTCCATTATTTTTTGAATTTTCCGTGATAATCATTTACCACCACTCACCCATGTGACCCACAAACAAAAACAAAAACAAAAAAAAAAAGAAGACTATTATAATATATTATGCCCAAACATACGAGTCCACAGATTCAGAAACTACAGCTGGTTTTTCAAAAATTCGCCATTTTTTTTTTCAAACCGAAGTGCATAGTTAGCTGTCTGATCCCACAGCCCATCAAAGACTTACACAACCCATCATCACATTCTTTATTGCATTATGCTATCTCCACTACTTTTGGTATTGCTGAGACCCATCCTCTACTCCACTATTTTTGAATTTTCAGTGATAATCATCTACTCTACTCACCTTTGAATTTTCATTCTCACGACATGCACGTGGGCCTGTCCTGCATGTACCCCATCTTTATTTTGCAACATCCATCTTCCCCACATCATTTCCTTTCTCATTACCCCAACTTTATTTTGACACATAGTTTTTCCATTAAAAAAAAAAAAAAAAACATCCACCATTCACAACCACCTTGTTTTATTCATATTCGAGATCAACCCCGATCACAGTTCTACACCAAAAATAAAAAAAACAAAAAAACAAAACACCTAAACAAAAACACAACCACCCGCACACAGGAGAGATTTTTTTCTTTTCCCTTTCTCTACTCAGCCGCTGATCTCTTCCTCTTGCCTTCGTCCTGGGCGTCCCTTAACGGCCCTGCCTCCATGCTTCCCAGTCCATGGAGCACGTTGCCTCCCTGCTGCTCCTCAAACGCAGCATATGGCGGACCTCCGAATCGGAACATGACAGTGGCCTTCCGTTTTAGCTCCTTATTTTTCGCCTTCAGTGCGCATATCTCTACTCGCGCATCCTTATACATGCGCTGGAGCAGAGCCAATTGGGCATTTAACTGCTGTACCTCACTTGTCCTATTTTGAAGTCGATGAGACAAGTTCATGACTGCAATCATGGTCTCCACACATGACTTCAACGTATAATGGTTGGTCTCAATATCCGATTGTGCTGTCATTATTTGCTCAACTGACAGTATCAGAAAGTTCAACAGTGTAAAAACAGGGGCGCTTGGTCCAGGGGCGTTTGGTTGCGATTAGAAGACACTGTATGGCTTGTGTCAGACCGGTGTAGAAGATACTGTGAGGTCGTATCGAACCGTTGTAGAAAACACTGTATGTTTGTGTCGAACCGTTGTAGAAGACACTGTGAGGTCGTGTCGAACTGCTGTAGAAGACACTGTGTGATTGTGTCCAACCGCTGTAGAGAACACTATGTGGTCGTGTCGAACCGCTGAAGAAGACACTGTGTGGTCGTGTCAGTGTGGTCATGTCAGACCGGTGGAGAATACGCTGTATGGTCGTGTATATAAGCTGTCCAAAAGATATATATATATATATATATATCGCGCCCTCAAAAGTTGTGCCCTCAAAAATTGCATCCTCAAAAGTCGCGCCCAATACATCAAAAGTCGCGCCCGACACTGTGGCATCGAGCGGCGCGCGATGCACGTGATCCTGTTTTGTCCTCTTCGTCTCTGCATTGTCTATTTAAACCGAGGTTGAGGCCGGTTTAGAGATTGAAAGCAAACCAAAGCGACAAACTCTGCAACCCTTTGCTTGTGCTGCCGCTGATATGGCCTCCTCTTCCCGTAGTGTGCTTACCATTTTTCCAGATCTAAACGAGTCCACAATAGAGATAATCGGGTCTGTCGCCCTTGAATTGCAACCAAACGTCCCTAGACCAAGCGCCCCTGTTTTTGCGCCGTTGAACTTTCCGATACTGTCAGTTGAGCAAATAATGGCAGCGCAATCGGATATTGAGGCCAACCATTATACATTGAAGTCATGTGTGGAGACCATGACTGCGGTTACGAACTTGTCTCACCGGCTTCAAAATAGGACAAGTGAGGTATAGCAGTTAAATGCCCAATTGGCTCTGCTCCAACACACCGCTGAAGAAGACACTGTGTGGTCGTGTCAGACCGTTGTAGAAGACACTGTGTGGTCGTATTGTACCGCTGTAAAAGACACTGTATTGTCGTGTATATAGGCTGCCCAAAAGATATATATATATATCGCGCCCTCAAAAGTTGTGCTCTCAAAAATTGCATCCTCAAAAGTCGCGCCCAATACATCAAAAGTCGCGCCCGACACTGTGGCATCGAGCGGCACGCGATGCACGTGATCCTGTTTTGTCCTCTTCGTCTCTGCATTGTCTATTTAAACCGAGGTTGAGGCCGGTTTAGAGATTGAAAGCAAACCAAAGCGACAAACTCTGCAACCCTTTGCTTGTGCTGCCGCTGATATGGCCTCCTCTTCCCGTAGTGTGCTTACCATTTTTCCAGATCTAAACGAGTCCACAATAGAGATAATCGGGTCTGTCGCCCTTGAATTGCAACCAAACGTCCCTAGACCAAGCGCCCCTGTTTTTGCGCCGTTGAACTTTCCGATACTGTCAGTTGAGCAAATAATGGCAGCGCAATCGGATATTGAGGCCAACCATTATACATTGAAGTCATGTGTGGAGACCATGACTGCGGTTACGAACTTGTCTCACCGGCTTCAAAATAGGACAAGTGAGGTATAGCAGTTAAATGCCCAATTGGCTCTGCTCCAACGCATGTATAAGGATGCGCGAGCAGAGATATGCGCACTGAAGGCGGAAAACAAGGAGCTAAAATGGAAGGCCACTGTCATGTTCCAATTCGGAGGTCCGCCATATGCTGCGTTTGAGGAACAGCGGGGAGGCAACGTGCTTTCTACACCGGTCTGCCACAACCATACAGTCTCGTCTACAACGATCTAACACGACCATACAATGTCTCCTATCCTATTTTTATTTATTTTCACGTTTTGTTATTCTCTCCAAACTCAAGTTGGTTTGTACCTATCCTCCTTGAGTTTGAGGGGAGATGTTAGTAATATAATATATAATAATATGTTAGTGTGTTAGGTTAGTAATATAATATGTTAGTGTGGTAGTAGGTGTGTATTCCTCTTCCTCTCCAATATATAGGAGAGTCATTGTACACAATATATCAATCAATAAATATACAATTTATTTCTCTCTTTTTCTATACATTAATTTTATCAGGGAGTAACATTTTTGGTCAAATATATGCTGTGTATATTTACGTCTGCATGTCTCGTATGGACAGTTTTGCCTTGAGATTCTCCTAAACTTGGATTGGGAAGGCACAATTGAATGTGGAGAGCTTAGCAAATATGTGTATATGTATACATAAATATAAGATATACACATAAATTATTTATTAGAAGGACATATATGTGTAAGTAAGAATCAAAGCAGTGTTACATGCACAAATATATATGCATACTAGATGGTAAAGAAATAGAGGAAGGCAAGGAGAACATGGGTTAGCGTGATAAGAAAGGAGATGATTTCCTTAAAATTAACTGAAGATATGACTTCAACAAAATTTATAGGAGGAAACGGAACCATGTAACAGACCACAAATAATTGGGACAAAGGCTCGTTGAGTTGACAATGTAAGCAGTTGACACCTGTGGGTATTTGAATACCTTTGACTGGTCATCCAATGATATGACCACTAAGGAGGGGACCCCACGACCTCAAGGCATAAGACTTGCCTCGGCGGTGGTCACCCAAGTACTTCACATTGGCTCGTGAGCCTTCCCAGGCCTAAGTGCTATGGACGACCCCTGCTCCACGACCAACTGCTTCTTGCAAGCACATCCCTGTCCGTGAGCAGATACTCCACTCATTGAGCACATCCCTCGCTCTGTGATTATCTGCTTGCCTCACTACCACCATGGTCACTTCGCATTGTGAAGGCTCCAACTCCGAAAGGTCCATTACCGATCATCTCACGTACTTTTTGCCCACATCACTTTAGAGATTATTATCAATTATCTATCAAGGTATTACTATTATCCATAACCTGGTTGGGTTATATGGTACATGTGTGTTTTTTATTATTTCTGATTAGGCATTGGTTTACTGAAGCTATTCTACCCCTAATTTTGTTTTTTATTATCGTATTTTGAAGTTATAATTCTGACTATGGATATTCCATCATAAAATACTGCTTAATATACATGCAACTTTTTTTTTTCCTTTAGCACAGTGATGTTATTGTTGATAACTGGCAGATCATTTATTATGAGGCTTGAATAATTATATACAAGTGAATCACTAATTATTTGATCAAGTATATGATAAGGTTCTGCTTGTGATCTGGTATGCAGATATTTGCAGAAATGATTGGAAATGTCATGATAGATGCTCGTTCAACAGGAAAATATTATCACTGTAAGTGTTCTACTCTAACACACATTGGATAAGGTTATGCTCTGCATTTTAATTCTTCTTCTTCTTATTTTTTTTTAATGTAATTTGGTCTTCCAAATTTTTGTTCTCTCTCTCCTCTTGGCGGGAAAGGAGGGGTGTTCTAGTGTCTTAATCTTTCTGAACACTTTCATTACCTTTTGTTTTAGAATTAGTAAGTCTTCATTTTCTTCAATTTTGAAGAATAAATTGTGGAATGTTAGCCAGTCACATATACTTTCTATTAAGTTGCGTCTTTGTTGATATGTGACCAACTCATCACATTGTGACTCTTTGACAGTGACTATTATCTACAAGAACCTGAAACTTACTAACTTCAAGACGTGCGTGTTCTCTTAAATGTTTCAAATGATAAGGTTAACTTGACTACTTCCCTCTAGTGAATAGTTTTTTCTCCCAACTATTTGAGGTTGGCTACATAAAATCAAGTTTGCCCTTCCACTTCTGTCTAGGAGCAAATGTCCTTCCACTTTGACAGATAGAAACTTAGGCTGTGTTTTGTGAATGAAATATAAGCTAATTTTTTTTCTCCATTTCCCTCACTTTTTCCTTTCTCTTTCTAAATCCCTATTCAAATCTATGACCCTAACACAGAATTAAGAAGATTGTGTTTTCTTCTCTTCTTACTCTTCTTTAGAACGCTATGGAAAAAACAACCTTCCTGGCTTCATCTCTTGGAACATGGGTAATTAGCAATTGCATTTAGCAACAATACCATATTTATTCACAAGTGTATTTTGTTGTTCTCCTAACTTTAGTCTCTGCATTTTTTTACATTTCCAACATATGCTTTATGTTTTGTTTTTATCTTTCTAGACCGTTCTCCTAATTTTCTGTTTCTGCAGTTGTAAGACTTATGGGCCGTGCAGCTTCTCACATAACATTAGAGTGTGCTTTGCAGACTCATCCAAACATCACAATCATTGGTGAAGAGGTATCTTTAATGACTCTTTTGTAATTCTTATCTGAGATGTTTGTTGGCACTTCACAAGTTCACAAGCATTGTGTTGGGTGTACCAAAGGGTAAAACACTGCAACGTTTGACTTCTTTCTACCGACCCTTTAAGTTCTTGAAAAAAATGAAAAAATAAAAAAGGTTATTGTAGGTCGAAGATTATTTGACCTACCCATTACTGTGTAAATGCTTTAAAAGAGTGTCACATCATTCCGCCAGTAAACTGCTAATCTGCTTTCATATAATTAGTTAGAGGCAAACCCTTTACAATTCTGATTCATATTTTAAGGACAAAAGTCTTGTAAAAAGCTTTAAAAATAGCTTCAAAAAGCTTTACTTCATTTCCTAATACCTTTTTCTTTGTTGTTTTTTTCCCTGAAGAAGCTATATGAATTCCAATTTGAGATTTGTCATCAATGAATTACTTTACTCAATTCACATTCCTCTGTTTTGTAAGTCCTTAAATGTGATCTAGCTGTAGTAGTTTGAAGTTAGTTTTGTGGAACTACATTGGTGGTAACGTATTTAGTTTTGGGAGATCATCTTGCAGATATGCTTAAATGCATTTATTTAGTATCGGTTATCTATTCAAATACCAGTGCAAGAAGTACAGATTCATTCTGCTCGAGTTTGTGTCAATGCCTCAATTTTCTAGGCCTTCTTATGATTTTTGGGCAAATTACAAATAGGTCCTAATAATTGGACTTAATTCTCATCAAATCTTATTGAAAATAAGTCTTAGTAAAATTGTCGCTAAAAATATTTTTTTGTGACAATTTTTTACATTTGTTAAAAATTGACAATTATCATTTTTTTTTTTAGTCACAATTTTTATAAATTATTACTAAAACTTAGAATTGGTGACGTTTTTCTGTGACGAATTTTTTAAACTGCCATTGAAAGTTCAAAATTAAGGACTTTTTTTTAATGATTTTTTTACATTGTCGCTAAAACTTATAATTAATGACCTTTTTTGACAAATTTTTTAAACTGTCGTTGAATTAACAATTGGTGATTTTTTTTTAATAGTGTTTGTTGAAAAATGTCATTAATTCTCACATGACCTATCGAACAATAAGTCTGCCTATTAAGACTTACACGTAAGTCCCCTTATATTTTTAGTAGGTTATTTACACTGAGACCTCCTAAACTATTGAGAAGTATCACTTAAAAGTGTACAAATGGATCCCTAAACTACTGAGAAATATCACTTTGCCCTCTAAACAATTGGATCATTAACGAAATGGGTCTATTTGTATGTTTTTATAGTTTAGGAAGTGATCCTTCTCAATAGTTTAAGGAGTCCATTTGTACATTTTTAAAGTTTAGAGGGTCAAAGTGGTACTTCTCAATAGTTTAGGCGGTCTTTGTGTAAATAATCCTATTTTTAGTTCAGTAATGCCAGTAATGAGATTCTTTTGATGGATGCCAAAGGGGTTTGTGGTCTATGTTACATGGACTCAGGTATGGTTATCGGGTGCGAGTGTATACCTAAGGGTCAGACACATTAAACTCTAAATTTTAGGATACGTGGACTCCACAAAAAATTAGATAATGGAATCATGGTTGTTAAAATCGTGATCCGGATCGTACGATCCTACAATCCTACTTTGCCAAAACAATCGAGATCGTTGTAGGATCGATATTACAACAGGATCGCAAGTAGGATCGTGTAGGATCGCATGGGATCGTGGATCGTATGGGATCGTATAGGATCGTAGGTAGGATCACAAGTAGGATCGTAGATTTTATGATTTTTCACCTTATTTTTAATATGTATCATTTTAATTTTAATTTTTATCTTTTTTTTTTAATAGAAAGTAGGATCTTACGATCCTCGATCTGATCCTACAATCCGATCCACCAGACCCTCTTACCGATCCTACTTAGGATCCCAATTTTAACAGGGACACATAGTCTAATTGGAAAAAAATAATTTTATTTATGTAAAATGAAATCTATTTATAATATACCATATTATATACAATGATTTTACTATAATTTTAAAACATTGGCAATGTAAAATATTGAATACAATGATTTTACTATGATTTTAATATATTGGTAATGATTTTACTTGGGAGAAAAAATTCTCAAAAAAAAAAAAAAGAAAGAAAAACTAAGAAGTATCCGTTTCAAAAGAGAAGGATTGGATCCATACCCCGTACCCATACCTGTGTTAGGTCATGTCAACACAGGTACTTTAGCAAACTTGAAGAGTCCATATAACATAGTTTGTGTTCTTGTTACCACATTGCCATGGAAATTTGAACAATTTGTAGTGAATTATAGAGAGTGTCTATCTTCGATTGGAGAACTCCTGAAATATTCTATTATAAATGATCCAGTATCAATCTCCTCAGTGCCTCCTTTGCTATTATAGGTAAGGTTTTGTTTTGCTGTAGGTTGCTGCCCAGAAGCAGACACTGAAGAATGTTACAGATTACATCACTGATATAATCTGCAAACGTGCAGAACTTGGATATAATTATGGTGTCATACTTATACCAGAGGGTCTTATTGATTTTATTCCTGAGGTATATACAAAAATACCATATTAATTGTCTAATACCTTTATGTTTTTATCCTACCTTTATCTTTAAACTTTGCTTAGGATGGAAAACTTGTTAATTTTAAATTACTTTGGTTGTGCTTTAAATATACTGAATCGCTTTTTCATCATGGTTTATCATCTGCAGGTGCAACAACTTATTGCAGAGCTTAATGAAATCCTCGCCCATGATACTGTGGATGAGGCTGGTACTTGGAAGAAAAAGCTTAGAAGCCAATCTCAGCAGCTTTTTGATTTTTTACCCGAAGCAATTCAGGAACAACTACTCCTCGAAAGAGATCCACATGGGAATGTACAGGTATCTAATCTTCTTATCAATGTATTTTCTGCCTCTAGCTATTCAAAACGGATAGTTTCCGTCTTTTATTATTGGTATTTTGTGCTGTATATTTAAGTTTACATCTTTTAATATTGCAATTATATGTTTAGGTTGCCAGGATAGAAACAGAAAAAATGCTTATTCAAATGGTGGAAACTGAATTGGAGAGCAGAAAGATAGCTGGTGCATATAAGCATCACTTCCAAGGGCAGTCCCACTTTTTTGGGTAAAAACTTCCTTCCTTTGTTTGACTCTCTTGGATTTGATTCTCACAAATGAGAGACAGTGGACTGTATGTTTAGTTCTTTTGTAACACAATTTTCATTTTTCAGTTATGAGGGTAGATGTGGTTTGCCTTCAAATTTTGACTCCAATTACTGCTATTCATTGGGTTATGCTGCCGGGGCTCTCCTCCATTCTGGAAAGACCGGACTGATTTCCTCAGTTTGTGTTTCTATCTTTTATTTTCTTTTATCATGTTTTTTTCTTGCAAATTCTTTCTTTCGTTCTTTTTGTTGCAATATCATCCCATTTGCATTCAAACTTTTTTCTAACTTGTCCACCTGCAATGAGGATCATATCTTCGAAATGCTTTGATACTTCATCTGAATACCTTGATTTTGGTTGTAGGTGGGAAATTTGAATGCTCCAGTTGAAGAATGGACAGTGGGTGGCACAGCATTAACTTCCTTGATGGATGTGGAGAGAAGACACGGTATATATATACCCCATTCTCCTTTGTCACCATTACAAAGGATGAGTAAAAATATGCTCCTATTTTTCAAATTTTTAGTCATTCTCTTTATTGTAAAGTGAAATGGGTATTTCAATTAAGCACATTATAAATTTTAAAAAAACTAAATTAATTTTAATCACTTAGTCTTTCATTAAAAAGACAAAGTTATAAATTACAACATGTTTTGTTGTGCTTTCATAACAATAAACGCCAAGAATTGTAGGATTTCTGTATACTACTAAAATCTTAGTTGACCCAATCGTCTGTTAATCATTAACTTTCTTTATTACAGATCCAATTATTTCTATAATCTCATTATGGTCGGTAAAATTTGGCAGGAAAATTTAAACCAGTGATTAAGAAAGCAATGGTGGAACTTGAAGGTAAGAATTGTTTTATGCCACTTCAATTTTTTTACTCGTTACCTGATCAATTGCATTGCCGAATTGGGCAGCATTCTGCAGTGCCACTGTAGTTGTATCTGGGCACTGCAATACTACTAACAGTGCGGTCATCTTCCACATCAATTTGTATTTGTATAGCCTTCTTAAGCGAAAGTGGATTTTCTGTTGTGTTTGTGTTATATTAGGTGCACCTTTCAAGAAATTTGCATCAGTGCGAGATGAGTGGGCTATCAAGAATCGATATGTCAGTCCAGGTACATTTTTTTAACATTATTTCCAGGCTTCCAGCTTTTAAATCCTTTTATAACCCTGCCGTCAGCACTCATGATCAAGCCAAAAATTGAGGGTAGAAAGCCACTTTTTATAGGTCACTGATGAAAAAAAAAAAAAAAATGAATAGTGATATGGAAAACTTGTTTGGTAAGCTGTTTTCTTGGATAGTGCCCCATGAGCATTGTTTAATTGTTAGGAAGTATGTAAAAAGTGTTTTGGAAGTGGTGAAAAGGTTAAAAAAAAATTATAAAAGTGGAAAGTGGTATGAAATTAATAAAAAGTGTATTGAATTCCAAACTGTTTTCTGTCTTTTTCTTCTCATCCTGAGACACTTGTTAGCGGCACCTTTTTCTAAAATTACCCTTTTTTACCTGCAATACTACTAACAGTGCGGTGCTAAGCATCTTCCACATCAATTTGTATAGCCTTCTTAAGCGAAAGTGGATTTTCTGTTGTGTTTGTGTTATATTAGGTGCACCTTTCAAGAAATTTGCATCAGTGCGAGATGAGTGGGCTATCAAGAATCGATATGTCAGTCCAGGTACATTTTTTTAACATTATTTCCACGCTTCCAGCTTTTAAATACTTTTATAACCCTGCCCGTCAGCACTCATGATCAAGCCAAAAATTGAGGGTAGAAAGCCACTCTTTACAGGTCACTGATGAAAAAAAGAAAAATGAATAGTGATATGGAAAACTTGTTTGGGAAGCTGTTTTCTTGGATAGTGCCCCATGAGCATTGTTTAATTGTTAGGAAGTATGTAAAAAGTGTTTTGGAAGTGGTGAAAAGGTTAAAAAAAAATTATAAAAGTGGAAAGTGGTATGAAATTAATAAAAAGTGTATTGAATTCCAAACTGTTTTCTGTCTTTTTCTTCTCATCCTGAGACACTTGTTAGCGGCACCTTTTTCTAAAATTACCCTTTTTTACTTAACACTTCTAAATTGTCTTATAAATCTTTCAAAAAACAGTTGCACAAGAATGAAAATGATAGATGTTTCCGAACTTTTCATTTTTTTTGTTTCAGAAAACACGAAAAACAAAAAAAAAAATGATTTTAATGAGGGTCATACTGAGTTTTTAGAATGACTTTGAGTTGGAGGGATTATAATCTCAAATTACAATGTTCTAATTTACAATTGCAAACTCGGAAAGTTTAAATTGGAAAATTGTCATATGGGGAATGTGAAATGAAACTCCATTGGGAACCTTCATACATTTATATTGATGACAATAGCAATTTATATCAGAAACTATCTCATGATTACAGAGAAAATGCATTCTCTTATTGGCTATAATTTTTTTTGAATTCTATCTAAGATTCTGGATTGGGATGAAAAGACTCTATCTGCCTTTTTTTTTTAATATATATTTTCTTTTTCTTTGTTAATTTCTTGAGCAGGCCCACTTCAGTTTTCTGGCCCAACAGCCAATGATATCAATCACACATTGATGCTGGAGCTTGAAGCGCAAGCTTAGGAACATTGATATGTCCTTTTATTTCTCAATAAGACACTTGAGACGTACATTTTTCATCATACGTGCAGCCTAAGAGATAGATTTTCCACTTGCTAGACTTTTTTTTTTTTTGGGGGACAAGTGGATAATAAAAGATTCATGTGAAAGATACTTTCCACGCGATTAATAGTATAGTATCTTTTTTTTCCTAAATATTAACTCTTCCTCCGTTTGCATATTACTTTCAAGTTTTATATGTAATGCCTGAAGTTTGCCAAATTAAAACTGAAATGCACTCAACCTGTTGAATTTGACTGGTGTTTTATCAGTAACAGTGTGTGTTAATCTTGTTAAAATCCAATTTTTTTAACAGGATCAATGTGACTTCAAGCAAAGCTTTTGATTAAATCAGAGGGAAAATCAAATTAAAAAGAACATGTAAGATATAGGAATGAGTGAGCAAAACAGTTCATGAATCATTTGCTGCATATGCTACATCATATTTTGTTCTAAACCAACCTTATCTAGGACAACCATGCTACAATATATCATGGGATCTTCATATCTTTAACAAGTAGTGTAAATCTCTAATATAGTGGACAATATAATCTTATCTTTGACACAGACTTAGTAGGTTTAACTAAAATTTGAAGTGTTTACTAGACTCTAGAGGCAGGTTATAGTTGATGAAAATTCCTTTGATTTCCATCCAATTACAGATGATACATGTTGCATCTATAGAAACATGTATACATTCACCAATTGTCGACAGATTAAAGTTAAATGAGGCTCGGATTTCAGATGTCAATACCAATTACTATCCCAAATAAGATTGTGTCAAATCAAATCCATGTAACTTGTAAGTAATTAAAACAATGAGCTCACAAAGTTGGGCTCCGGATCCCTTGTTCCCCTCTGTTCCATTTTACATGTTACATACTTCTTTTCATTGCCATCTTGCCAAAATCAAGATATTGCTACGTCGCCAAAATTAATATACAAGATGGATGTGGCAAATAATAAGGGGTTAATTGGTATTGTTATGGGGCATATGTCATTTAGGTTCCATTTGTTTCAATGTAAAATAATTTTAGTATTTTTTTTTTTTTTTTAATGTTAGGAAATGAGCCTAATAAAAATTCCATCCAATTACAGATGATACATGTTGCATCTATAGAAACATGTATACATTCACCAATTGTTGACAGATTAAAGGTAAATGAGGCTCAGATTTCAGATGTCAATACCAATTACTATCCCAAATAAGATTGTGTCAAATCAAATCCATGTAACTTGTAAGTAATTTAAACAATGAGCTCACAAATTTGGGCTCCGGATCCCTTGTCCCCCTCTGTTCCATTTTACATGTTACATACTTCTTTTCATTGCCATTTTGCCAAAATCAAGATATTGTTACGTTGCCAAAATTAATATACGAGATGGAGAGAGGAAATTGATTGACATTTACTGTGGCAAATAATAAGGGGTTAATTGGTATTCTTATGGGGCATATGTCATTTAGGTTCCATTCGTTTCAATGTAAAATAATTTTAGTATTTTTTTTTTTTTTTTAATGTTTGGTAATGAGCCTAATAAAAAATTCAACAAAGGTGGAAAAAAATAATTACAAGGCTCACTGTGCAAATAATGATAAATTGATCCTTTATTACAAGCCTACAACTCAGCTTGTTTGAACTACAGCACATTGTTGAAAACATTGAGGGTAAATTAACCTATGGAAATCAAATCTGGAAGTCAGTTTTTTTTAATTTGTTGGAAAATATTTTGCTTACATTTTGGCCAACCAAACAATGAAGAATAAAAAAATTTAGGTGAAACAAATGGAGCCTTCAGTAAAAGGAAATGGATTGACACTGTGGCAACTAATAAGATTGGTTTTCCTATGGGTCATATGTCATTTAGTCAAAGATTTAATCTCTTTTTGGTGGTAAGGACATGCATTGAAAAGTCACCAGAAAAGTCTTCGGCGCCAGTGACTGTGAGCTGGACAAATAAGTCAATAGATAGGTGATACATATAAAAATATGAAACATTTGAATACATAGTTTCACAAATAAATGACGTGTATAGATAGTGAGACATTTGAACTGACTAGCGAGATGCATGAGCCTTGCACATGATTTTCATGCATTCTAATGTAATATAATGTAGTTAGTTTTTGAAAGTCCTTGTTACTTGTACTTGTCCTTGTAATATAGAAAACAAACTTTATAATAGAATGAGTATACTAAACAATGCACCATTTTGTAAGTATACCGCATAGACAATTTAGCAAAATCTGGAAAAAAATATAACATATATAAACTTTAAAAATACCATAAATAAGTTCTTAAATACATAATGTCACCAAAAAGAAGGAAAAAGAAAAAAAAATGAATAAAAAGTTTGTGGGACTAGTTTTCTGTGCAGTAAGCATCCTACATAATGAGAAATATAACATCATTTATAAGAATCATTCATGGTTAATGTATAAAATGTGTGAAATTTATTTTGTAAGAAAGTGAATTTTACCTTAATGTTTCGATCAAATGTAGTAGAATTATCAAAAAAATAATCATATTATGATGTTTGAAGGTATTTTATATTTGGAAGTGTTTGAATTCCAAAAAGTGTTTGGTTGTTCGGTTGATGTAGATTGCTGTGTGATGTTTAATAAGTTTGGAAGGGTATTTTCAATATACAAAAAAAGTAAAAAACATATGTATTCTTCACACTTTTAAAATAGTAGTAGATAGATAAGTAACATTTGAACAAGTAAACAAATAAGCAAGTTTTGAACACATAAATATCCTTTTAGCCTAAGAAAATTTAAGTTTAGACATATTGATTCAAGAGTTTCCATAAATGAACCACTTGCTTGAGTGCCCAACAATAAGGGTGCTAGTAATAGAACCTACATAATTTCTTTGAGGTTGGCTACATAAAATCAAGTTTGCCCTTCCACTTCTGTCTAGGAGCAAATGTCCTTCCCCTTTGACAGATAAAAACTTAGGCTGTGTTTTGTGAATGAAATATAAGCTAAATTTTTTTCTCTTATTTCCCTCGCTTTTTTCTTTCTCTTTCAAAATCCCTACTCAAATCTAATGATCAAAACACATCTCTTCTTACTCTTCTTTTAGTACGCTATGGAAAAAACAACCTTCCTGTCTTAATCTCTTAGAACATGGGTAATTAGCAATTGCATTTAGCAACGATACCATATTTATTCAGAAGTGTATTTTGTGGTTCTCCTAACTTTAGTCTCTGCATTTTTTTACATTTCCAACATATGCTTTACGTTTTGTTTTTATCTTTGCAGACCGTTCTCCTAATTTTCTGTTTCTGCAGTTGTAAGACTTATGGGCCGTGCAGCTTCTCAGATAACATTGGAGTGTGCTTTGCAGACTCATCCAAATATCACAATCATTGGTGAAGAGGTATCTTTAATGACTCTTTTGTAATTCTTATCTGAGATGTTTCTTGGCACTTCACATTGTGTTGGGTGTACCAAAGGGTAAAACACTGCAATGTTTGACTTCTTTCTACCAACCCTTTAAGAAGTTGTAAAAAATGAAAAAATAAAAAAGGTTATTGTAGGACGAAGATTATTTGACCTACCCATTACTGTGTAAATGCTTTAAAAGAGTGTCACATCATTGCACCAGTTAACTACTAATCTGCTTTCATATATTTCATATAATGAGTTAGAGGCAAACTCTTTACAAGGCTGATTCTTATTTTAAGGACAAAAATCTTGTAAAAAGCTTTAAAAATGGCTTCAAAAAGCTTTACTTCATTTCCTAATACCTTTTTCTTTGTTTTTATTACTGAAGAAGCTATATTGAATTCCAATTTGATATTTGTCATCAATGAATTACTTTACTCAATTCACATTCCTCTGTTTTGTAAGTCCTTAAATGTGATCTAGTTGTAGTAGTTTGAAGTTAGTTTTGTGGAACTACATTGGTGGTAACGTATTTAGTTTTGGGAGATCTTCTTGCAGATATGCTTAAATGCATTTATTATCGATTATCTGTTCAAATACCAGTGCAATAAGTACAGATTCATTCTGCTCGAGTTCGTGTCAATGCTGCAATTTCTAGGCCTTATATTTTTGGATAAACTACAATTAAGTTCTAATAGTTGGACTTAATTCTCATCCAGCCCTATTGAAAATAAGTTTTAGTAAAATCGTCGCTAAAAATAATTTTTTATGACGATTTTTTGCATATGTGGTTAAAAATTGACAATTAGCAACTTTTTTTTTTTTTTTGGTCACGATTTTTATAAACTGTAACTAAAACTTAGAATTACTGACCTTTATTGTGACGAATTTTCTAAACTGTCATTGAAAGTTAAAAATTAGGGACGGTTTTTTTGACGATTTTTTTAAACTGTCTCTAAAATTTATAATTAGTGACATTTTTTTTGACAAAATTTTTAAACTATCACTGAAAACTAACAAGTAGTGATTTTTTTTAATAGTGTTTGATGAAAAATGTTATTAATTCTCACAGGGCCTATTGGATAATAAGTCTACCTTTTAGGATCTGCACGTAAGTTCCCATATATTTTTAGTGGGTTATTTACACAAAGACCTCCTAAATTATTGAGAAGTATCACTTTGACCCCCTAAACTATAAAAGCGTACAGATGGATCCCCCTAAATTACTGAGAACTATCACTTTGCCCTCTAAACAATTGGATCATTAACGGAATGGGTCTATTTGTATGTTTTTATAATTTAAGAAGGGATACTTCTCAATAATTTAGGGGGTCCATTTGTACGTTTTTAAAGTTTAGGTGGTCAAAGTAATACTTTTCAATAGTTTAGGAGGTCTATGTGTAAACAACCCTATTTTTAGCTCAGCAATGCCAGTAATGAGATTCTTTTGAGGAATGCGAAAGGGGTTTGTGGTCTATGATACATGGACTCAGGTATGGTTATCAGGTGCGGGTGTATACCTAAGGGTCAAACACATCAAACTCTAAAGTTTTGGATACATGGACTCTGCAAAAAGTTTCCAAAAATTAGATAATGGATACAGGGTTACATTGTCTAATTGGAAAAAAATAATTTTATATATGTAAAAATAAAATCTATTTATAATATACCATATTATATACAATAATTTTACTATAATTTTAAAATATTGGCAATGTAAAATATTGAATACAATGATTTTCCTATGATTTTAATATATCGGTAATGATTTTACTTGGGAAAAAAAATTCTCAAAAAAAAAGGGAAAAGAAAAACTAAGAAGTATCCGTTTCAAAAGAGAAGGATCGGATCCATACCCTGTACCCA